GAATTTTATCATGATGACTATATAAAATAAAACAAAACAAAACAATCTAGACGGCTAAATTATCGAGAAAAATTTTTTTTTTTTGTTTTAATAGCTCAAGTGGTCAATATTCGTTTGTTTGTTGGAAAAAAAATGCCAATTCAAATCTTATTTCCTATCATTATCCATCATGATGATGATGATGATTATTATTATTTGATTTCAAGCCTGTTGCGTATTATTTATGTTTGTTTTTGTTTTTGTTTTGTTCATTACAAATCAACAAAATTACGTTACGGTATCTAGTATCTATTTTTTTTTTTTTTGTCTTGGCTAAAATACACTTACAATAAACCGCACCGAAAAAGCTCATAAATTATTATTATATAAATGTGTGATGACTATTATTAGCAACAGCCAAAGCCAACAAAAAAAAAAAAAAAATCCCAAAAAAAAACAACAACAACAACAACAAATTATTAAAGCCGACGACCATCATCATCATCGGATGATGATGCGCCGGAGTTTTTTTTCTCTTTCATCCTGTTTTTTTTTACTGTATGTTGATGGTAGTGAATCCCTTTTCAAATCCCTTTAATGTCAACTGTTTAGGTGGTTGATTGTGTAAATGGACCCTGTGGTCTAAACTAAATCATTGCGTAACAAATGTGTGGGGGCAAAAGAAAAATGGACTAAAATTAGAATGAAATATGTGCTATAGAAAGAAATTCATTGGAATAGTGAAAAAATTTTTATTGCCCAATTCAAGTGGCCCTTCATAATCTTGTTATTGCTGTTGTTGTTGCTGTTTTTGTTGTTGTTACAGGAATGTTACGATGATAATGATGTAATAAAGTAGTTTTTTGTTTGGCCATTTTTTTCCATAGAAAAATAGAGCAACAGACAGCAAATGATGATGATGATGATAGACAAGTCTATCTTATTGACCATCATTGATGAATAAATATACCGGTAGCCAGTAAAAAAAAATGGTTATTATTATAAACTCAACTGTTGACCATCATTATCAACTTTGATCTATTTATTGTTGATCAGGTGTTGAAATTTTTGTTTCTTTTTGTTTCATTCAATCATCTTTAACATGAATGATTTGTCCGATGATTTTTTTTTCTCGATGATCATCTGATGATGAAACATCTGTTGATGTTGCTGCTGCTGGTTAAGTTATCAGTTCTTTTTTTCCATGTTTTTATTTTTATCCGATTCAACTATTTGTGATTTGTGTATGATAGATAGATCAACAAAGTAGTGATTTGTAATTCATCATAATTAATTAATTTTTCTTTTTTTTGTGTTATCTAATCTTGTTGTATGGATGTTTTTTTTTTTGTTCAGCTCCTTGAGCTATCTATTTTTTTTTCATTCATCCAAATTAGGAATGAGAAATAAAAAAAAAAAAGTTATGCTGCACACACGGACACAAACACGATGTAATACCTGTTGTTGTTGTTGTTTTTTTGTTGTATACACGAATCACGTTTGAAATAAAAAAAAAAAAAAAACAAATCCATCAAAAACGTAATTTTCTAGGAAATTTTCTGATTATCTCTGAATTTTGACAAACAAAACAAAACAAAACAAAATCAATTTTCATTCACAAATGATCCGAATCGATAATTGTCTGTTTGTTTTTTTTATGTTTCTGATGTCTATTTCAATTGAAAATGAATTCAAATTCCAAATCTATGCATGTGTGTGGTATTGTTTGGGATAGAAATTGGATGATTTAAATCATCGATATGGTCGGTTTCAAATTCAAAATCAAAATACCAAAGTTTAAAAACATTGCAGTAGGTTAATATCAAGGAATATAATTTATTGTCCGTTGATAGATTATAATTGAAAATTTCTACCTGGAAAATTTTGTTGTTGTTTTGTTATTTTGCATCTTGTTGTTGTTGTTGTTGTTGTTGTTTGGATTACATTATGATAATTGAATGAACAGCCAAGCAACAACAACAAAAAAACGATCAAAACGAAGCGAAAAAAACATATTTGATAAAATAATTTTTCAATGTTTTTCAATCACTGGCTTCTTGTCAATTTTTTCATTCTTTTTTTTTTTTGTTTATCTCCATTTTTATCGTTTTTCAAAAACAGAATATTATTGGTGATGATACACTCACCAATAATATTATGCCAAAGGGGTAATGTCAGTGTTGACCCTTTTCATTTTCTCATCTCTCTCTCTCTCTCTCTCTCTATTTTTACTTGCCTGCCATTTTAACTGACATTTTCCAGAGAAAATGAAAATGTTTTTCCACCACCACCACCACCACCACCACCACCATCATCATGATATCATACCAAAAATATATTCACGAATAAGAATGACTACTGACTACCATACGATATGATATGATGACGGCCATTCAAAGAAGATGGAAATAATGTTGTTGTTGATGATGATGATGATGATGATGAAAAAGAATAGTGAATGAAGAGGAAAAAAAAGTCAAAATCGAGAATGAAGAAAAAGAAAATGACAGACAGCGAGAAAGAGAGAGATAGAGAGAGACATAAAGTGATGATGATGAATGATTCTATTTTTTTTTTTTTTCGTTTTGGGTTATAGTTTTTGTTGTTGTTGGGTATATACTTTTTTGATACATACATACAGCATTCACACACACACATACATACAAAACAAATAGTACACGAATATCATATCCCATCATCATTGCCAAAAAAAAAAAAAACGAATTTTTCGGGTAAAACTTTGGATCTTTTCATTTTTTTGGTTGAACAAAATTGAATAATGAAAAACAAATACAAACAATGACGACGACGATGTTGTTGATGATGGTTGGTTGGTTGGTATCATACACACACATGCACATGCACACGCAGAGCAAATATTCGTATCGACAAATGTCAAATGGATCAATATTTTTTTTTTTTTTTTTTGTTGAAAAGGATCAGAGAATGTCATCATCTTGTGATCTGATGATCAAAGCCTTGGTTTTGTCACGACATACACACACACATACACACATTTCAACAGCTGTCGTTTGTTTTTTTTTTCTTTGTCATTTTTTTCTGGACATCCACCACATACATACATCAAATGTGATGCTTTTTGTTTTATTTGCTGTGTTGAATGACATTAATTAATTAATTCAGATATAATTACATTGCTTATATTTAACTTGTTTATTGACCATTTGTCTTTTTTTCTAGTTTCCGGTCATCGTCATCATCATCATCATCATCATTTTTTGTTCGGAAATATGGAAATTCTCAATGCAACCAACAGCAACCGATACCGTTTTTTTTCTGGTTTGATTAAAAAAAATAGGATTGCATCGAACAAATTAAAAAAAAACTATGCAAAATCCAAAAAAAAAGTGGATAAAACTAGAAAAAATGAAAATGAAAAGAAAAAAGAAAACTACAACGACAACGATGAAACAAACTAATATAACCCAAAAAAAACGACAAGCCAAAACAAAAATGAAAAAAAAAAAAAAAAAAGAAGAAGAAGAAGAAGAAAAAACAATGTGTCTTGAGCAGGCTCAACCGAACCGCAACATCATTTATCATCATCGTCTTTTTTTTTTGTTCTTTCATATTCGTCTTCATTTTCTATTCATTTCATTCATTCATTCATTCGTTTTCATTCATTTGTTGTTGTTGTTGTTGTTGTCTCCACATTTGGTTATTTTTATTATTTGTTTTTCTGGTTGTGTGTGTGTGTGTGTGTGTATCTATTGTATGTTGTGTTATATGTGACTATTTCTGTTGGTGAAGAAATCAAAAAACAAAACGAAACGTACTGTAAACGTCTTTCTTTTATATACATTTTTTTTCACTGTTGAATTTTTGAATCGTCAGTTATGAAATTTTCATTTCATTTCTTCTTCATTTGTTTTATGATGATTTGTCCGAGAATTTGTTTTTTTGTTTTGTTTTGTTTTGTTTTATTCCTCGAAATCGATGGAAAAAAATTAAATCTTAAAGAAAAACATTTCTGGATCTGAGATCTAATCTGGAAAGAAAACATTGACAAAATGAATACCAAAAACCAAAAAAACAACAACATTGGGCAACTGCAACTACCGCCGTGCATTGGAGAAATGTCAAACACAAATGTGACAGTTCACTGAAAAAAAAAAAATGAAAATAAAGACGTTTGACATGCTAAAATATGAAATTCCAAATATGAAAAAGGGGCCTAGCTTTTTTTTTGAATTTTTATTTTCCGTTTTCTTCTCTTGATTGAGACTTTACAACTATAACATGCATACACACACACACACACACACCTACATATTAGATATGTGTGATAGAGAAGAAAATGTATGATAAATGATCTTTTTTCGTTTGTTGGACACACACACACACACACATACACACAATTCGGTCGACAAAGGTAAATGGAACCTTTTTTTTCTTGTCAAAACTGTCAATTGTTTTGCGTTTTGTTTTCTAAGATATATATAGAATGAAGAAAATTTTCTTGTGTGTGAATGTGTGTGACAGTTTAATTTTATTTTCCAAATTCCCTCGATTGTTGGTCGTTGTGAATTCCAAATTTTTGTAGATAAAAATGATGATGAAAAGATAAACATCAGCAAAATGCCACAAAAAACCGTTTTTAATTAATTAGGAATAATTCTTATTTTTTAAATTCTTTTCAGAATTCCAAAAAATCCAATTGTTTCTTGTGTCAATACAGAATAATAAGTCAATATGATATGTGTTTATGTGTGTGTGTATGCGTGGGTGTGAATCAAAAGGAAAAAAAATCTACAGATTATTTAGATTATTGACTAATACAGATACATGTGTGTGTGTGTGTGTGTGTGTGTTAGTGTTGTATGATATGAGATTCTGGGATTCTTTTTTTTCTTGCAAAAAAAAAAATTCAATTCTAATATTGAATGATTGAATATGAAAACAAACAAAAAAAAATTTTTTTTTTCTCATTGATATGATATGATATGATGTGTGTAACATATATCAAATCATCATCTACAAAATAAAACCAAAAAAAGGAACTACAGGCAATCTTCTATCTCTTCAACATCATCGTCATCGCCATCGCCATCGCCATCGCCACCACTACCACCACCAACATTTGGATCAATTTCAATAATTTTGCCAGTAGTTGATCCAAATAATTTATCCAATTCTTGATGATGATGATTATTTGGATTTCCTGCCATATTTGTTCCACTATCAGCATCACTAATCATTGTTGCTGTTGTTGAATGTACCATACTGTTATTGTTGATTGATCCACAAATATTATTGCCGATACTATGATTGATTGGCATCAATCCATTTGTTGTTAAAAAATGATGATGATGATGATGATTATGGTGATTAAGATGTGGATGATGATCATTCAGATTATTATTTGAATTATTATTACATTTAACTTTGATTTCTTTTTTTGCTTTCATCCGACGATTCTGGAACCAAATTTTAATCTGTCTTTCAGTTAAACCTAATGAATGGGCAATTTCAATACGACGACGACGTGTCAAATAACGATTAAAATGAAATTCTTTTTCCAATTCCAATGTTTGATACCGAGTGTATGTTTGTCGTGTTCGTTTTGGGCCATGACCAGAATCTTTATTGAATAAATAAATAAATGAAAAAAAAAAAGAATGAAGAAGAAGAAGAAAAAAGAACAAGATAAGAAAAACATTAATATGGTTGACAGGCAAATTGAAATAGAATTTTTGGTTATGTATAAATAGAATCTGAACACACACACACACACACACATTCATATCGAATGTTTTTTTTTCAAGTGACAAGAAAAAAAAATATATCAAACAAACATCAAAATATTATATTCGCTTTTATAGTTCAATGTTGTTGATTGGTGATATGTCTCTGTTTCTGTTACTGTTACTGTTTCGTTCAGTGTTGACAGTTGTCATTTCATTTTCATTTTCAAACATTCATTGAAACTTTAAATTCATTCAACATTCATAGATAGACATTGATGATGACAGGTAATCTTGATTATTATTATTGAAAATAACAAGTTTTCCAATGTGAATGTATGAATGTAGACATTCATTTTTTTTTTTTGCTCGAATTTTAATTTTGTGAATCTTTATTTTTTTTTTTTTTTTTTGACTAAGGAAAATGAAAGATATTTTTCTATTTTACTTTTATTTTTATTCATCATCATGTTTGTTTGCCATTTATCATCATCACATAGATTTGTGTTTTTGTCGCTTGAATTTTTTCCGATTTTAAAATTTAAAAAATTCATACAAACTGAGCAACAAAATCATTATCTGATTTTCTGTTTACATGTCAATACCATTTTTTTTTTATTTACAATGATCATTTGTAATTTATACAACTTTGGTCATCGTTTTTTTTTCTCCATCAATTTGACCTGAATAATTGTTTTTTTTTATCGATGATGTAAACGAATTCGATCTATTTTTACCAAATCAATAATTTGATTGGTGAAAATAGTTCTTTTTTTCAAATTCATGATTCAACACGTGATTATGGTTCGAGAATTTTTGTCAGATTCATGTTTTTATAATTTTCAAATGAAAACAAAAAACAAAACAAAAAAAAAAATGAATTCATAAATCAAAGTAGTAGGTGGCCACCAACAATTATCATGTTTCATGTGTGTCAGATTTGTTTTGTTTTTTTTTCTTTCTTTTTGAATTTTTTTTTCAAGTATTCAACATAATGTCACTTTGAAATAATGATGATGAAAAATGTGATTTTTGTTGTTGTTATTTTTTTCTTCATTTGATAATTGTTGTCTGGTAAATTCGGTTGCATTACTCAATGTTTAGGTTGGGTAGGATTATCATAACATATGACAAGCATAACCAACAACGAACATAAATATACTACCTCTTTTTTTTCTCGTTTTTTTCCGAACCAATTAAGTTAATTTCTACCTGCAAAAAAAACTGATGATGATGATGATGAAGAGCTTGTTTTTGTGTTGTTTCTACTATTTATTCATTCTTTGAATTATGAATAATAATGATTGATCATAGGTAAGCCGAATGTCATCATCATCATCATCATCGCAGTGTGTGTGTGTGTGTGTGTGGCATGAATGTGAAATTGATGAAAATTGTGAAAAAAAAAAAAATTCGGTTTCAATTTGAGACAAGAAAATAGAAAAAAAAACCAAGCAAATTATTGACGATAATCTAGATTTCGTTTTTTTCAGGGAATGATAAGATTAAAATTTTTTTTTTTTGAAATTGATTAACACAAAAAACTTGCATATACGCAACGACTAATCAATCATTTTTTTTCCAATCAATTTTGATCTGAATCTATATTAATATCATATATATTTGCCACTCTGTCTGTCTGTGTGTGTGTGTGTGTGTGTTTCAAAGTGTCTTTGAACTTATTATTAATTTTGTTGTGTGTGTGTGTATGTGTGTTTTTAATTGAAAAAAAACAACAAAAAATTTCAATTTAATTCACAATTTACAATCATCATCATCATTGAAAATGAATCGTGTAAACCACTTGTTGTTAACATTGCATTTCATATTTATGGGATCATTTTTTTTTACACGTTTAAATTCAATTGAATCATGAAAATTACTTTTTGATTCACTCATTTGTTGTTGTTGTTGTTGTTGTTGTACTGAACATTATTATTATTCTATCGTAAAATCGGGAAATAATAATAATAAAAAAAAGATTCGGTAATTTAACCTTTAAGTGGTATTTAGTGGCCGGACGACAATTTTCATGATGATGATGATATTTTATTGCTGCCATAACACATTTAAAAATAGGCGCGCGCGCGTTCACTCTCCATAGATTTCACTCTCTCAACTTGAAGATTTATATTTATATTTATTACGCGGCAAATTTATTATCTAAGCTATAAAAACATATAATAAAAATAACATTGTTATTGTTGTTGTTGTTGTTGTCAATTTTCGTTTTTCGTTGTTGTTATTATTATATGTAATGTAATCTTTAAATGTCAACAATATATATAACGTGGAGACGGGCCAAAACATAATGATGATGATGATGATGATAATAATAAAAAAAAAACGATCCAATTTGAATCGGGCTACTCAAAACAAATACCGGCAACAATTATCATCGGGTTTGAAATGAATATGGTTTTTGAATAGCGAGATAAAACAAAAAAAAATTTATTAGCAAATCTCGGTTTCAATTCATTATTATGAAACTTTTTCATTCTTTACTTGACCGGTGTGGTGTGGTGTTGTTGTTATATCTGTACACTGTGAATGAATCTCACATTATTCTTGTCTTTTGAAAAATAAAGAAAATTTATTAGGTGTCTTGACACTATTGTCAACAACAACAATAACAACAACAACAACAACCGATGACCATCATCATCATCATCATCATTTTATAATCGTAATGATATATAAAAAAAAGCCACAAGTTACATATATACTTTGCTACAGTACAAGTAGTAGTATTAGTAGTAGCTACAACATTGCTACTACATTGATTCTAATGTTGATGATGTAATCAGAAAATGCAATTATAAAATGGTCATCATTGAATAAATGTAAATGGCGATAAAACCGGAGAGAGAGAGAGAGATAATTTATGGCCCAAAACATTGGAAAAAAAACAGCAACAACTTTGAAATTGAATGAATGAATGAAACATAAAATAAACAGCAACATGTTGATACGTACAAGAACAAGATAAAAAAAAACGACACACACACACACATTTAAATATGAATATAAATATTGTATTTACGAATTTTTTTTTTTCTGGTGGTGTTGATGTTAATTGTTATGATGATGATCATGATGATCATCATCATCATCATCATTATCATTAAATGATGTTATGATAACTTTTTTTTTCTCTTTAATTCTTGATTAGCAAAAACAAACATTAATGTTAATTTAATTAATGACACGTGTTGTAATAAATTTGAATGTTTGAATTATGATAATAAAAAAAAATACTAAAATAAAATTACCTTGATAAGATTTCATCCATGGAAAGAATGATGATGATGATGATGATGATGTTGATGTTGGTGATTTTGTTGTTGTTGTTGTTGTTGTTGATGATGATGATGATTCAGATTAAGATGATGTGAATATGGATGCGTATGATGATGATTTTGATGTAATAGATTTGTATTCGTAGAAGACGTTGATGATGATGATGATGATGATAATAATGGTGGCGTATGATTATTGTTTGGTGTCAATGATCGTGATTCTTGTGATGTTAATTGTTGATGTTTTGATGATAAATCAATAGAATTATTATCATCATCATCATTGTTATCATCATTGTTATTATGACCATCTTTATCATAGCCGGATGTTGTTTTTGATGATGATATTGTAGTGCCTGTTGTTGTTGTTGTTGTTGTTGTTGTTTTAGATATAATGGTTTCCGATTTAATATGTCCACCATTCAATGATGATGATTCTATATTGCAATTAGGATTATTTTGAATAACTTTTGAACGAAATAATAATGAACGTTGTTCAGAATCAATATCGTTTGCTGTAATAGATGATGATGATGATGATGATGATGATAATGACATAATCAAATCAAGTTGACGATTATTTTTATTATTATTATTTGGTGATCGTTGTTGTGTATTATTGGTAAGTATTGCTGATGATAATGGTCCATCATCTATTGATCCATGATGATTTGTCGATGTTTGTCGTATTAATTCATATGGTAATGGTATCATATCTACATGATTTTGATGATTCGATTGTGGTGGTGGTGGTGGTGGTGGTGTTGGTGTATATGGACAACTATTTTGAGGTAGATGATGATTATGTGTTTGATTACTGAATACAAATTCATTATAAAATGGATGTGTATATGATGACGGAAGTGGTTGTTGTTGTTGTGATGGTGGCGGTGGTGGTGGTGGTGGTGCTGCTGAAATTGGGTGTTGTTGATGATAACGATGAAGATGATTATTTGAAATTGTAGAAGTATATCTAGGATTAATAATTGGTGGTGATGATGATCCATGATGATAACCATTTGTATATCCGCTATCATGTGAATGATGATAATATGCTGCTGCTGCTGCTGCTGCAGCAGCAGCCGCTGTTGAATTAAAATGATGCGGATGTGGTGTCGGTGGTGGCGGATGTAAAATATTTCCTTGTGTATTATGATATTGTGATGCAATTGGTGGTGATATATTCTCCATTAGATTTGTTGTTGTTGTTGATGATGATGATGGACTAGAACAATTGAAACGTTGTGATGAAATGATTGATGTTTGATCTGATGCGGCAGCAGCAGTTGCGGCTGCAGCCGCTGTCGCCGCTGCTGCTGTAATCGAAGATGCTGCTGTATACATAGCTGATGGTGTTGTCATCGTTGATGATGACGATGATTGATTTGTATCCATTACATTTGTTGTAATTGCTGCTGCTGCTGATGGTTGAGGTGGTGGTGGCGGTGTTGGCCATTCAGCCGTTGATTGATAATTAAAATATGAATTCATATTCAAGAATTTCTGAATAATTTAAATAAAATAAAAATGTTATGAGGTAATGCTGTAAGATTCAGATTTCGGAAAAAAGAATGAATGTAAGATTCATAGAATTGAAGACATTTTGCATTGATATTTATATACGTTTGTCTTTGATCAATAATGATGATGATGATGATGATTATGGCTATGGCCAATAATGGTGATAATGATGACTAGGTGCCAATAACAACAACAACAACAACAACATATCCGAATAAAAACAAACTTTTCACTATCTAATATTGATAATGGTGGTGGTCACTCGGAAGGTCAGTCTATTAATGAATGTTGGCAATGATGATGATTTGAGGATGATAACAATAATGATGACGAAAGCGACAACAACAGTATTTGGATATAAAAATGAATGAATGAAAGGAAAGGAAATTTTTTTTTTTTGGTTCAGAAACAAAACAACAACAACAACAACAAAAATAAACACGTGACCGACCGCCTATTTTTTTTCACTTTTTGTTTGCTATATATATTATTCAGTCTTGTTGTTTTCGATGACGATATAAAATAATATGTATTTGGTTCAAATATAATGATAATAATAATAATAATAATAACAATGATGATGACTGACCAAAATGACTAGGAATTGACTATATATATATGCCATTTGGCATTTGACCATAGGGTCAAACCTTAGTTCCAATAATGGTCAATGTTGGAGAAAAAAACCACGACGACGACAACAACAACAACAACAACGAATTTCATAGGTTCAATAATTTGATTTTTTTTTTGCTGGGGCCTGATGATGATGATGGTCAAAATGATGAATAGCATTTACTCATACACACACACACACACAATATGGTGATGGTCACACACAAGAATGGTATATAGTTTTTTTCCAGGTTTAAGGCCAGGTTTTTTTTTCGACTGCATTTTCTTTCATGCCTAAATTTCATTATTTGACAGCTTCTGTTTATTCATTTTTTTTCACTGATTTTTTTTTTTTTTTGATTTGTCCAATCCTATGACGAGAAAGATATATGAGAAAGTGGATAACAAAATCGAATGCTGTTCAATAAATGAATTCAATGGTGAATATGGACACACACACACACACAATGGTCAGATCAGATCAATTTGTTGTTGTTGTTGTTGTTTTGGATGGACATTTGAGTTTTCTGTTTCATTGGAAATTGAAGCAACAACAAACCCTTTGGCCACCTGCCGCTTTTTTTTCAACCATTTGTTTCCCTTTTTTATCCAATTGCGGCTAAGTAGTCAGATGGCGGTTAATATCAATAATGAAAGCAACAATGAAAAAGCGGATGAGTAACATTTGGTTGCATACAAAACGATTTCTGGTTTTTGAATCGGAAACTGTTGTTGTTTTTTCAAATTGACCAAAAAACATGAACACAATATATGATCCAAAAATAAATAGGAAATGTCGAGTTTGAAATTGGTTTCAAACGCCAAAAATTTTCAAGATTACGTACGTCACAATGGATGACGATGAATGAATGATGGATGGATGGATGTAAAATTTTTCTTCGTTGTTTACTTCATTTGATTCGATTTTATTTCATCTTTCTCTCTCTCTCTCTCTGTGTGTGTGTGTGTGTGTGTGTGTGTATGTGGGTTTCTCTCTTCCAATTTCAAAGTGACAATTGTCTTCATAACTTTGATTTCTACTTTTTCATTATTGATGATGATGATGATGATGATGATGAACCTAGTTCTATTCTCATACCAATAATTTGAACTCCTGAAAAGTAAAAAAAAAACAAGAAATAAATGAATGAATGAATGATAGAAAGAACAATTGAATGATGGTTGTGTTGAATTTTTTTTTTCAAGTACACAATATTGGGCATTTGTGATATTACAATAATAACGAATAAAGATAACGAATAATCGTGCAATGGCGGTGGCTGCTGCTGCAACAGTCGATCGATTGTGGTTGTCGTTGACGTAGAAAATCACTCAATCATCAAAGAAAATAGATGGATTGAGAGAAAAAAAAAGGTAAAGAAGAAGAAAAAAAAAATACCAACTCTTAGTGTATGCTACCATGTGGATGATAATGATGATGATGATGATGATTATAGCAATGTAGAAACAACAGCAACAATATGAATGTTTTCATCATCTTCTTCATCATCAGGTATGGATCTTGAAATGTTGGTTGGTTGGTTGGTTGGTTGGTTGGTTGGTTGGTTGGTTGGTTGGTTGGTTGGTTGGTTGGTTGGTTGGTTTTTTTTTTTTTTTTATTCTTTTATTGATCATTCGATGACAATAACTTTTTTTTGCTGTCTTGTCTGTCTGTCTGTATGTTGGTTGTCCATCGTTAGTGGTTGGTGTTGTTGATGATCATAAAATAATGATGATGATGATGACTGTCGTTGATGATGATGATAATAATTTGGCCAATAATGATTGAAGAAGAAGAAGAAAAAAAAATCAAACCATCACCACTACAACTACTATTATTACTACTACTATAGTAGAAACAAATCGAATCAAATCGAACCATACAATTTCATCGATTGAAAAAGTAACTTGTTCAATTCATTATCAGTGTTTATTTGGAATTCCTGATTTTTTTTCATAATTAAAATTCTGAATTTAACTTATGGAACAAATGCAAAAACTTACATGAATCGTTGAGTGATTGTGAAAAGTTCCAACATTAATGAATGAAAAAAATACACAGCCAATCAATCGGTCAAAAATTATTGACGATATGGTGGTCAACATGGGAAAAAAAATACAAGGTAAAGACGGTGGTGGTGATGATAGCTAACGATGATGATGATGACAACGACAATTGACTAAATGAATGGTATTTTTTTTGGTTATGGTAAAAAAAATGTCATATTTTTTCTCGGACTTTTCGTTGATTGGCTGATAGTAAAAAAATGAATTTACAAAAGACAAAAACTACAAAAAAAAAGAAAAGACATGCACAACTGCAGTGGACAATGGCCATCATCAATATACCTGCGTGTCTTTCGTTCGTTTGTACTTTTGTTTTTGTTTTTCATTATTAGTTATCAACATTCGGATGTAGTGTAAATGAAAATAAAGAAGAAAAAAAACACAAAATTGGTTTCCTCCATACAATACACAATGTACTAAATGGACAAGATGGACAATGTTTTCATCATCAAGAAAAAACAAAACAAAACAAAACGAAACAAAATAAATTGGATGAATATGAATGGCGTTTTTTTTTTTTTGGTTCAAAATAGGTTTTTTTTTCACCACTAGCAAAATGAAACACACACGAAAAACCTGTTAAAAATAAAATGGTCAATGACAACTTGAACGATTTAATATGATCAACGATGATAATGATGTGCCAATGGATGATGATGATAGATTGTCTGTTGTTGTGTAGTCGATGTAGATAGTAGATGATTATTAATTTAAATTAAAAATTTTTCTTTTTTGAGCTTGTGATTATATTATGATGATTGAAATGGAAATTTTTCTGGTTTTATATTGATCATGGTGACAAACATTGTTATTGTTCAACGATCAATCTCAGAATGCTGCCGGTGTTTATGGAGTGAACAATACACACACACACACACATTCATAAAATTTTAAAAATCTTCACTTCACCAGAATCCAAACAAAAAAATGGATTTTTTTTTTTTCATTTTCATTACATTCTCTCTTGCATTTGAATTGTCGATATTGAATTAAATCCACTTTTCACTTGTCATGTCTCTCTTTTTTTATTCAATTGTTTCAATTGTCATTGTCATTGTGGATTCCTACCAGAATTTTTTTTGTTTTTTTTTTTCTCTTTATGGGCCACCTATTCCAGAATCGTATTCAATATTTTTTAAGGTTCCAACAGCAAGAAAAAAAGAGGCGGACACCCTTGATTCAATTGTTTGTGTGTGTATGTGTGTGTGTGTAACTAAGGTAAGTAGGTAGGTAGGTAGTACCCTTACAATGTAGAATCCTCGATTGCAATTTAGTTTTTTTTATATTCTTTTTCATCATCATCATCATTGTGGTTGTCATTGGTAAATAACTTTTCTTTCCACTTTTCTTTTTCTTTTCATTTCACTTCAGCACTTTTTTTCAGGTCAATTTTTTTTCAATTCATTCTTGGGAAACAATTCCAGTTGTGTGTTGATCAATTTATGTTTTCGTGTAGATTCCGTTCATCATCATCATCATCATGTTTCCTATAGTGATCGGATAGATCCATCATTGTATTCATTTGTTGTTGGTTTTGTTTTGTTTTTTTTTGTTCTATGTTGAAAATGTTCAATTTTCATGGATCGAAATATATAACAAGCTACTGTGTTATACTTTATATATTCTTTCATAGAGAAAAAGAAATGAAAATAGAGAAAAACTGAGACAGACAGACACACACACACACACACACATTATATTTGGCACGCAATTTGGAACCAATAATTTCTACTTTGTTGTTGTTATTTTTTTCCATCCACAAAAAAAAAAAAAAAAACAAAAAAATCCATGAAAAACATTGTTGATCAATCATGGACCATCATAATCATTATTATTATTTTCATCATTGATGGTTGTGGTTTAGAAACCATCATCACCACTACACACTATTGGCTAGAGAATGAACCACACTGAACAACAACAACAACAACAACAACAACAACGACGACGACGACGACGACGATTGATTGAATGGAATTGAGAATTTATCAAAATGAAAATAAACACACAAACAAACACGTGAATGTCGATTCATTTGTGGAATCGTTCCAACAACAACAACAATGACAACAACAACAACAACAACATTTAATGAATACTACGAGATAATAAAATTACATATACTCACGCAATATGTTCCATATGGTTGAAATTGTCATTGTAGTCATCGTCGTCGTCGTTGTCGTCGTCGT